AACCATGTCAAGGTCGGCTAACAATATCAACCGATCAGTAATATGTATATGTATATATATAAGATGTTCTATGGCGTGGATGAAATTCCTTTGTCGCGTACCTCCAAAATGTCTATCAAAAATGACGTTACTTCGCCTATATGAATCAACAAAGACTTTGTTTATCCTGGCTTGACATTTAGCTAAAAGTCATCCGTCGCGCGGCACATTGCCCTGCTCCTGACCAGTCAAAATCTGTTTCTTCAAGAAACACTGGGCCCAATGCTCACAGAAGGTAAAGCTTCTGCATTCCTCCTGCGTTGGCCGTGAATTTTTGGGTGTTTTGGGACCAACCGCGACGAGACGACCAGGGGAACATGCAGCCCAGCAGCCCAAGCATTGCGCTTTTTACTTATGGCCCATCCCTGGGCAGTCCTCGAAATGATCATGATCAACTCACATCAAGACCCTGTTACTATAGATGTTTATCAGAATTCATTTGAATAGCCTTGTCATGTTGGAACTTCCATATGGGTCTTTTGCAGCGTGGCTTTTGTATTGGAGTTGCGTGATCGCGCAAAGGAAGGCCTGCTTCAGCATGCTTTTGATATACGAAAGCCTTTTCAAGCGTGGAACAGAAATTTTGCCGGATCTCTGCGAGGTGGCACCTAGACTTCAAAAATTGAGCGCCAGACTTGCATAGTAAAAAGTCATGAGGTCATTGCTGAATTCGGAGTCAGATCGCCAGTGGATGATCATCATCCCCATAGAGAAGGCTCCACTTGGATTCCTGAACAGCTGATACAGAGGAAAACATCGTTGAAACCAAACTTGATCTGGTGTCTTGTAAACAAATCATCAATGTCCTCATCGTGGTTATGATTATGATTATGAATATTAAATTGTGTTTTATGATTTCATTAATAATTTATGATCGTTGTATCGGTGTATCATCGGTATCATCGTCATCATCATCACTCATTCTTGACTCACCAGCCACATGGATCCAAATGATCCACTGTCCTTGTAAGCTTCTGCTGAGGGGGATGGTTGAATGGGCGGAGTGTTGTTCACCTGCCCGCGCCAGGTGCAAGCACAAAGAAGATCTTCCACGTTGCAAGCGGCAGTGATGTGTTGGAATGATGCCTAGAGATATTAAGTTGTTATTAATCGAAGCTATGACTAATTGTAACATACTATAACATACTATCACATACTATAACATACTATTACATGCTATTACATACTATAACATACTACAACATACTATAACTATAACTCATTCCAAGGTACATACTATAACTATATAATATCTAAGGTTTAGAATCCCATTGCTTCCCATCCCCATCCACCCCGAAGCATCGAGTGCAGCCATTGCCTGGGTGATGAGAGCTTGATAGGCTCCCGTATCCCGGAAGGCCAAACCTCAAGGCCCCACGATTGGTGAAGTGCCGCAAAAATGCTGTGTGTCTACCAGCACAAAATAAAAGTGTTGCCCAAAAAAATGGGGAATGTACTACCCAAATGTTACACCTATTCCTGGATATGTACACTGTTAATTAATATGTTAGCCATACTGGCGCCGCGTCCGACGAGTGCCGAGTTCTAGCCTAGTAGTGCTGGCCGCAATCTCCGCGTCCGCCGCCGCCGTCGAAGAGGATCCAGGCCGCAGGCAACCGGAGATCTGCTGCCAGAAGTCTCCTGGGAAAAAAGTCCGAGAGAGGGGAAAGGGATCTCTATATATATAATATACTGTTTGGGTTTCAACCCCTCTGCAGCTCTTAGTCAGTTGGGATTATTATTCCCAATATATGGAAAATAAAAACTGTTCCAAACCACCAACCAGTGTATATATATATATATATTGGATATCTATGGATATCTATGGATATCTATGGATATACAAAATGTTGATGTTTCGGAAAATAAAGAATGGGGTTCACATTAACCATCTGATACAGTGTGTATAAATCATATGGACTTTACTAAATGGATTTATTCTTGTCGATGGGATACTGTTTTCTGGTTGGTGGTTGAAAAACCCCTCTGAAAAAATGTCCAGTTTTTATATTTCATGATCTATGGATATTGGGATCCTTCATGGGATAAAAATATCATGGGCTTGGCCCACCATGGAGATGATTCCCGAAAAAAAACTATGGACAAAGGTCAACAGGGTCACCAGGAAGTTTGTGACATATGTCGCCATGAAAAATAGAAAATCACGAATTTTTCACTGGCAAAAATTGGAATGTAACCCCTAAAAAAAATGAAATTTGACCATGAACACTTGGAGATATAACTGGCAGTACTGTGGGTTTGTCAAGATTTTTTGTCACCAAATATGATGATCAATGGGTTGGTTGAAGGGAATGTTTAACTAGCATGGCCTTTTGAGAAATGCGGGAACCAGCAAAACATGAGCATATGATAGGAATATAACGCGGTTATAATGGGATATAATCAACATATATCAACATAATGTGAAAACAGCCGTACTGTTACTTGTAATTCTGGGGGTCTAATGAAATATATACATATTCATTGACGGGATAATATGAGCAAATTTTGGAAAATGTTGGGATATGACCATCCCTCCAACTGATCAACTGACCCTGAAGTGGGCGATTCAGAGGGTCTATGCTGGTTGGGAGGATCGCAATCCCAGTCCCTCAACGCCGCTAGATATAGAAAATCACCATGTTTGATAGGTAAATCATCATAAATCATCTATTTCAATGGGATTTTTTTCATACCTATGTTCAACCTCTGGGTCATCATCATATTTTCCATCAAATATCCCATTAAATCCATATATTCCATGATATTCCCATAGATGTTTCATGTTTAACCTTAAAATCAAGATTAACCATGGGCTATAAATGGATTGAACTATGGCTAAATTCGTCTCAAATTCAAAAAAAAATCGGTTCCTCAAATGTAGGTTTCCTAAAATAGGGATACCCCCAGTTCTCATCCAAAGTTTAATCAATCAATCAGTTTTTCCATCAAAAAAACCATCCCGCGAGCCAGGGGATCACCCACCCATGACGGATCCAGGCATGGTGCTGCTGTCTATGGTGTGCCATGGATCCCATCAACAAAAACCCCATTCATGTTAGCATATATACTAACCAGCACCATGGGTATATTTACCTACATTATCCTGGGTCATTTATTTATGGGGCAAATGTTGGGATTCATGTTTCTGGGTAAATGATAATATTTCACCTGAATCTTGCGGCCATAAAAGGGGATGATTTCCCATATAAAAACCATGATTCCAGGCTTCGGTCGCGACGTGAGGTCATTATAATTTACCCAGAATAATCATCATTAACCATTAATGAGCACTATTAATCATCATTAACCAACCTTAACCGTTAATAACCATCATCAACCATCATTAACCATCATCAACCATCATTAATCATCATCAACCATCATTAATCATCATCAACCATCATTAATCATCATTAACCATCATTAATAACCATTAATATCCCAACTATGGTTGCTAATATCCCTATGGAAAACCCCGATCCCTTCAGCTCCACCTTGGTGGCCCTGGGGTCATCGCGCATGGCGCTCCACTGCGCCTTCGCTGCGGCCGCCGCGCTCTGCGCCTGCGCGGCATCAGCGGAGGCCACGCGCTTCCGCACGGCCTCCCAACTGCGGGGGTGAGGATTGGGTGCTGAGGTTTCTATATCTAGTCTAATATGTATATATATATATATGTATATATGTATATTAATATATATATATATATATATTCTGTATATATATACTGTATAATATATATATTATATATTATATATATATGTATGTCTGATACCAGCAAGATTGCTGAGGAACTTGGGGCCAAACTCGTTTCTAGATGTTTATATACACATGTTTATATCAAGAAAACATGTGAAGAAAATGAATGCCATGGATTTACCAGACCAAGATGACGATGGGAACCAAACAAAGGGACTTTCATCACAGAACTCCATTACAATAATACGCACATCTGGGTGTGAAAACATAGGGAGACCCACCACAAGGTGTCCACAAGATGCCTGACCCCCTCTGGAAGCTCATCCCGAGCGGCTTCACCGTTCCAAATCAGGGGAAACATATGGAAACATCGAATCAGCATGAAATATGGTGATATTTACCCTCTGGTTATTTGTTACATAGCCATGGAAGCTTTGGCCGAAATAGATGGTTTACCGAACTTAATAGCATGGTGGATCTGTCCATGGCTATGCAAAATGTTAGTCATAACCAGAGGGTAAGACTGGTTTCCAACCTTTGGAATGCTTCAGGACCTTATCTTGGAGTCCAACCCCAACCCCTGCTGCCTCTTTTAGGCCCGAGTCGGGATGCGTCACGCCACCACAGTCCACCACCAAACATCGCAAGGGCATGGCGAAGTTGTCCTCTGTGGTTCTCCAATTTACCCTCTGGTAATGACTGTTACATTGCTATTGAAGCCATGACCCAGTCGAAATAGTGGATTTTCCCAGCTATAACATGGTGGATCTTTCCAGTTCGTTATGTAAACGTAGGTTTACCAGGCCGGGTATACCAGGCTGAGTCAAGCACAGGGTCATCTGATGTCACCCCTTTTGCGATCCTGGAATCCAGATCGGCATCTCATTGATCCAGTGGCTGCAGGGTTGCGGTAAACATCCAAAGGATAGAACAGGAGAGCCTGGACGAACCTGGTTCAGATCTGTTCAGCATTGTGGCCATCCCAGAAATTCGAAGTGCTGAAAATCGATCTCAACACCCGAAAAAAACCCAGCCTCCACATGGGTAGAATTTCAGTGCCGCCTGCCTTGATCGACAGTGACGACTCGAAAGATGGAGTCGTGTTTTTCACTAACTCTCAATTTTTCATGGCATGAATCATGGCCAACACGCATTGCTAAGCACCGTGGCGCTAAGCAGCGCCAGCCATGGCGCAGAACGGCCAACGTCTGAGGCCAGCGACCCCATCGTTTCCATGGAGGGTCTGGCACCTCCGCACCTCA